ATATATATATATGCTAAAAAGGAATGATTCTAATCCACTTTGTGGCCCAATTGCGTCAAAAGTTTCGCTTGATCGAGAGCGACCATTTGGTGATTGGGTGCAAAAAGCAGTTAGATAAATGGTTGTTTGATTTTGTAAGAATCTTTTTTGTGAACTAGTGAGCAGCTGCTGCTCTGCATGAGCGGAAGTGCCGCCGTTGCACAAATGGCGCTGTTTTTGAGGAACAAGTCGTCGTTCCAAGGGATGTGCGGCTGGATGACGTACGCACAATCGCTGTCTATAATTGATTATCTACAACGCTTGGCCCATCTCGAGCAGTTGCTGTTTTTGCGTGCTAAAGGGCATTTGCTGTTCTTGTCAAACTTGCCGCTGCATCCGAGCGAGCACTGGGCTGTCTAGGATACAGCGAGTAGGACGTATGAACGAAACACAGATTTGTTGAAAGCATCTAAAGTGATAAAATCACAGATAGACTATTACTGAAGATAATGGTAGAAGAACAACAGCTAGTGCGGTAAATGGAGGAACAACTGCATCCGATGAAATCTTGTGCTAAACAGTGCGTTGAATTCAGGATGGAACGGCGGTGTCACAGAATGCGCTTTGTCCACCAATGCAATCGGCTCAACCACACTGCTCGCCCGTGATGGCTGATTCGGCAAGTGGAAGCTCACCGGATATTCCATCGCCACCAACTAATTCGGAAAAGGTAGCAGTGGTGGAATCGCAAGCGGCACACATCGATCCCAGTGATACCAGTGCCTTGTGCGCTTTTTCGCACTCTGTAGTTTTGTAGTGGCCGCTGATGCCGTTCTGTGTTTTATGTATGTTTATTTACCACTGGGGTACTCCGCTATCCGTCCATTTTTTACGCTGATCGGAAGTGGCCGTATCAAAATTGCTCATGTGGGGATTGAATTTTTGTGGAATTGATTCGGACAGTGTCAAAATCAGGTGAGAAGGGGCGCAGAATTTTATTGAATGCACATAAAATTTGATCACAAAAGGGGCAAAATTAGCTGCAAGTGTGGAACTGCTTTTAAAAGTAAAAATTCTAAATTTTCAATGGTATTTTCCGATGTTTGAGAGAAGTAGGGCTAATTTAGCAGACGTTGAGATTTATGAGCTATGTTAGAAAATACGGGTTGCTGTTCTGAAAAGTACGGGTGGGAATGGACCATGGAATCATACTTCAGCTACTCTGGGAACTGATGAAAAGTAGATGTGAACGAACGAGTTGTATGGCAGAACTCCTGGTGTTGAAGATTTTTTCGGTTTTAGACTGTCCGCTACAACACTATCAATCCATG